ACGGTAGGGAACCTTAGGGGCCTGACGGTACTTATTCCTCCTGCAAAATAATGTGAAATAGAGCAGAGGCTGTGAAAAGGTTCCTCTCTTCTGCTGTGGCAGGAAACCTAAGGATGGGGAGAAAGGTTCGTTTGCAGTGACAAGCTAGATTGCTGGCAAAGTGCTGTGGGGATTGAGAGTTCCTTGGGACTGGAAGCGATTGCTGTAGGGGAAACATTTGAAACAGTGTGATTGAGGGGGCAGAGTGTTTTGGTTCTGAGAGGAGAAAGAGAACTGGCTGAGGGACAGGTAGTTAAAGCAGCACCAGCGATGGGATGAGAAAAAGCCCTGTGTAGCATCCCACTGCAGAGGTGCTTCTCAAACTGTATTTCCTCTAGCTGGTTCTTCTCTGGGAGCCCACGTGTGTCACTCTGACGGCTGCCTCTGGGAAGCAGAGAAGGCGGAAAGATGTTGCTGTGCGCTGAAGAATGCATACTGCGTGCTGAAAAAGCAGTGGGTGGCAAAGATTTGAGGGGATTGCTTCAAATCTTAGCTATTCAGCACATTTATTTTAAGCATGATTTAAATCAGCATAATGTAAGTCCTGATATAAATAACCTGTTGAAAAATCCATTTCAATCTTCTTTTATATCTACTTTAAAATCTTCCCAAAAGATTTGATTTTTGTTGGTATGTCAACTAAAATTTTTATTGCTTTCTGCTATGCTGTTATATATACATATATATCTATATGTGTCAGAAATTATATAACAAAACATTAAGACTTTCCATTATCAACTTTTGCTAGAATTCAAATTATGCTAGGAAAATAAGAACAATATATTTCATTTTACTAGCTCTTTGTTAACTTTTTGCTTGTTGAAGGTGTCAGGGTCTATTTAGATAAAAATTGGAGTGAAATTATAATGCCCTCAAACCCCACCAACTTGTTAGTTATGTAAAAATATCTTAATCTTTCTGAGGATACAAGAAAATGTTTATATGAAGATATTTTGCATGTAAAACTAACCTGTTAAGCACAAAATTAAAGAAATTAAATGGTTAGCTTCTAGTTGTCACATCCTTCAACATTTGAGAGTTACTAAGCGTGCTCCTTTCATAGGTAGCTTTCATTTATGGAATATAAGAGGAAAACGGATTTTTCTGTTCATGTATGGGCTATAAGAGGAAAGGTTTTCCCTCTTTTTCAAATTGCAATTATCCTTACCAATTCTGAAAGGACTAGTCATTTTATGGAACTGAATAAGTGAATAGGAATTAAGAAAATGTGTCATCTGTTCTGAGAGAAGAGGTACTGAGATGAGCAGCTAGCTATCAGTTCAGTAAGTGTTGGTTACAGTGACATCTGTCCACTCGGTGCTTTAGCTTTCTTTATGAGTTTAGCCATGAATATATGTATAGCTTAATATTATTTTAAAAATGCAGTTTAAAATACTTTAATTTTGGGGTTTAGGCTTTAGCATGGACTTGTCATTATTGCAAAAATACTTCTTTTTAAACAGGAAAAAAATGTAACTGGCATTTTAATGATAGAATTTATTGTATTTTATTTATAAATGGTTTTTGAGCCCTAAAGGAAAGGATCACAACCAGATTTAGTACTAACGAAGGCCACTTCCCCATACGAGGGAGACAGTTTTTTCTTGGCAGTGTGAATGTCAAGCACAGCAGTCTGTGGTGACTCTGATACTTGTGCAATGCTCTTTTCACTCGAACTCCTCTGAATCTGCTCTGGAGTTCATGGCTCTGGTTGTAAATCTCAAGGGCCTTCCGATACATGTGTGCCTTTGATACGAGAATAGAGACTTGGGATGCTGTGGATCTTGGAGTAGAAACATCAGATCTTATTCCTCTGAACAAGCTTGGCCCACCTAGGAAGGCTGAAGCAAGTAGGTAGGTTTTTGAAAACTTTGAGAAGTGCGTTCTTTTCTGCTTAGGTGTTGTATCAGTAATTGGTGATTTCAACACTATTCCGATAATTTAAGGAGCTCTCTCGTAAGTGGCTGCTGATGTGCTGTTTGTCAAATTGTCAGTTTTACATTACATTTTATTTATAATAATTCACCCATTAAAAATAATTTGGCTCATTGTCTCCAGACAGTGTAGACCTAAATGCTTGTTCATAGCCTTTTTCCAAAGGCTATTTACTGCTATTTCTCTTTCTGTGCTAATGCCTCAGCTAAACAAATATAAGAAGCGTAAATTTTTAAAATGATAAATATCAAATAGAAGTAAATAAGGCAGATTGCTAATTCTGTTAATCCTAGGTGTAAAAAGGGGGAAAGTAGATCTCTCCCATCAGATCTGTAACTTGTGAATCAGTGAAACTGAAATCTCATGTGAAAGAGTACGTTCATGTTACAGACTTGAAAAAAACTGTAGCAGCTCATTCCCCTGAAAACTTTGATCTTATTTCTATGGCTTTTTGCAATAAAACAGTTATGTCTAAGACCTTATACTGAATTAATTCAAGTTGGTTGCAAGTCTTCCACTGATGTCACTTGAAGGATCAGGCCACAGTGAGATTAACAGTGTAAAAAATGTCTCTAGGAATAAATGCTAAGGAATCAGGGAAAGTAGTCTAAATTTCTATGCCTTTATTTTAGGTCAGGAAGAAAAAAAACAAGAGGGACAGTGTTCTTTTCACGGCAAAATGGACAGGAAGCACAAAGTGGGAAATAAATCAATCCTATATTTCCACTGATGTTTATCGGAAAGCAGTGAGAACCTTCTCCTTCCTACTTTACCATGGAGAAGGAAGGCCTGAACTAAAAAAAAAAAATCTGAATTTAACTTCTAGCTTTTCTGCAGACCTTTTGTGTGACCTCTAGCGAATGACTTTGACCATTCTTTACCCTCATTCGTTGTCATTTGCAAAATGAGGATAGGAAGTCTTTTTTGTTAGCCTTAAGCATGGTATTCACCTTATCTAATATTAGTCATCACTAAAAATGTTAACCTTTTTATCTAACTTACTCTCTTCCTAGAGCGGAGAGGGATGGTCACCTACCGAGAGATATCCATCCCATGTGTCTAAGACGCTCATTTTAGGATGGGATGAATTGTCCTTTGAATGTGCCCATCCCTCTCCTTTGACTGTAAAAGGAGGCTTTACGACTAGCTCTGAATCAGCGCCCCATTTTTGCACAGTGGACTGTAAGCATGGACTACCTCTGTACAACACCTCGTACCTCTGCGGTCTGTTTGTTTTTCTTTGTACTAAGAAATATGAACTGAAAGCAATGATATTATGGGAGGGGTAGAAGTCCCTATTTTGGAGAGCTCTTAAGACTCTTGTGGCTTCCCAGAATCAGTAGAAGAGGATCAGCTGTTGTATGATATGCTCATTAAAAAATGAATCCAAATATCCACCATGCTGGTTTTAACCAGCATGGTTTTACAGGTAATTTGCAGCTCAGTTTGTGATCATATGCAGTGTGACATGTTTCCACTAACCCAGACCCATTTCCATTTTTGCGCTGAGACAAGGTCAAATACTTGATTCAGCATACATCAAACTGAAAGCATGAAGTGGGAAACAATTTGGCAATTTGTTTTTATTCAAGAAGAAATGAATAGACTTGCTATTTTCAGAGGAACTGCTTCTCTGAGGAGAGTGCATGTGCAAGAGTTTTGGTGAAGGAGAAACAAGGTTTAAGCCCCTAGTGTTTTGTGAAATAACGGGAATTAGGCCCAACAGTCACCACCAGAAACTTTATCGACCAGGAATGCTGGGTGACATGGTAGGCCTGCAGAAGTCCGATTCCTGGGCATTCAGTGGGATTTCACCTATCTCAGACGGTTTAGCTGCAATATTGAAGCAGCTTCTGTTGTCCTGAGATTATTTATGATTGTGAGAGCAGAACTCTTAAAAACAAAAAACCCCCCAAAAACCCAAGCAGAGATTTTCTTTCATGCATGTGTATGTGTATTATTCCTGGCTCCTGTGGCATTTTTCCTATGAAATTTGGCTTTGTTCGGTTGATAGTATCACTTTGGTCAAACCAACTACATTTCCAGACCTGGGCTGCACAGACCATTACTGAGGTGAACAGAGGAGTTATTAACAAATAACCTCATTAACCTGTTATGTTTTCTGCTCAGCAAAGAAATGCTCCATGTGCAATGTCACAATTCTCTGGGCTCCTCAGAGTGAGTGGAATTTGCTCACCTTTTCATGAGCTGCTTTTCTCTCTTGTCATGGGGCTGTTCTGTACCGTATACCACACGTGGGTTACAGATGGTAATTTTAATTTAAAAACCCAAATGTAATAAATTCAGCAGATTAGTACTTGGCCAGCATTGAGTGCTGAGATTGTTCAGTTGACTATTATGGAAAACACATCAGGCAACCTCATCTCTGACCAAAGAGCAGTGGTTCCATCCCCTTACAAACAAAGGCTTTGTTATGTCTTCCTTGTGCTGTGACTCTAGTCTCTACTGTGCGTTTGTTTCCAAAGCAAAACAAAGAATTCATAATCCTTGGCAGTTTGGATGATTCAACTTGAATTTTTCTGTTATTCTATTTACCTACTAGCTGATCAAATTTAAGAGATGGCCTCACTGCAGTGGAGCTGTAGGTTTTCAGATGCATTCAGCCCTATTTATTTCTAGGGCACCTTTAACCAAGAGTGAACTCTAAAACAAAGTTTAAGGATCAGGGCTTTAGTGATGCTACCCCACACTTTACGCTAGAGAAGGACTCTGGCCTGCTCATTTGGATCTATTTTTCAAGAGACTCTGCAGCTTGGCACTTTGTGGTTAAGTGTTCAGTCTTACACACATGAACATACATATATGTATTATTTATGTCCACTGTGACAAAGCTGCAGAGGGACAGGGATAATCAGCATTTATCATACAGCTTTTGTCTGTTTTACCTATATTCCATCTATTGCTATCTTACAGGTTATTTATAACATGTCCAGACTTCTAGCTGATTTAATGAAAAAATCATAATCGCAACAGAGCTTTTCTTTTTCCTCCAAATGTGCAGGTTTTTCGTCAAAAGGTCACTGACTTGGAGTGCAGGATAAATACCTTTTCTTCCTGCAGTGGAGACAGTTTGGAAGTCCTGTCATGTTGTAAGGTACGTATGAGCGAGAGACTTACATTGCATACGGGAGAGGCTTTATGGTGTAACCTTCACAAAACATCATTTTCTAACCATGTGATATCTGTTCCTTGTTATTTTGGCCATTTTGTTTAGACAGGTTGTAAATGCTTTATTTTTTATTCCCAGGAATTGAAAACAAGATCCAAAGAAACAGAGGGATGCAGGAGAAGAGTGTATGCAAGGCTGTAAGGTACCAGACTGCTGCGCTCTGTTTGCTTTTTTCCTTTAGCAGTTCAAACTGTGTGATCTGTTAACCATTGATCCTGTTAGGGCTTCAGAAAGCAGCTGTTAGTTTAAAAAGTGGGTACTTGGCCTGGGCAAAGACTGTAGCACTATTAGGCCTGAAAGAGGAGCGGTGAATGAAACTTAATTTTTGGATGAATGTTTCTAGGATTGACGTACAAACTTGAAGGTTGAATGAGAGAGAGGAACTGGCCATGGAAAGAATGACACTTTTGTACAGGCTTCTCTGCCAGCCACTTGGTTTCTCTGAGAGGGCATTTGATTTGGACATTTAGTAACAACTATTGATTTTTATTTTAGTATTTGAGCATGTCAAGGCCCTGGCTAAGATAAGGAATTTGTTGTGCCATGCACTTTGCACATTAGGGACAGCTCTACTCACAGGACTTACAAAGGGTAGGAACAGATATAAAGACAGACAGAGGTGCTATTTGTTTCCACAGGATGATGGAAAAGGTCAAGCAGCAGGTCAATGGCACAGCCAAGAGTAAAGCCCAAGTGTGCTGACTCCTGGTCTTGTGTCCTGCTTACTAAACTTTGCCTCCTTTAACAGGAAAATGAGAGCCAAAATGCTGTGATATTCTGGGGTAGGAACAGGGGTGGGAAAGATGCAGAGAAAGAAATACATTCAGCTTTTTATGAAACTGACATAATCACGATTTGTCACTAGCTTGCTGGCCTGCGCAATTTTTGTCTGTTGAGTTTTGCTCTTCACGCAAATTGGTCAGTACATCTTGACTTTTGACATTCCCTCTCTTTCAACATTTCTCTCTGCGTAGTGACTATACAGTCAGATACTTCATTGAACTGTTTTATAACCTTCTACTGATGAATAACCTGGATACCCAGTAGCAATATATCAAATTAGGTAATTTCAGCGTCTTGTGCATCTTTAAGTGGTGAAGTGATAGAATTTTAAAGCTTGGCAAATTATCTTTTTGGGAAGAGTTGAACAAATGTTCCAAGGCTTCCTTAAGGCTTTACACACTGGCACATATACTGTGGTTGCCATAAGCTTTTATTAAAACTGTTTTTTCAATTAATGCAGTGAATAATACCATGATATCCTCAGCATTCATTGTGCTTTGCTGTAGGACATGGGTAAAGCACACTAGGCCTATGGTAATAGAGCTAAATGCCTGCCAACTGCAAAGACGTATCTGATAAACACTGCTTAGGTAAGAATTAATATGCTTAGAGTATAGCAGAAGTCTTGGGCTGGGGCTCATTCTCCCAAGCAGTGAGTTAATTTAGCCTTTACCATTTACCACAGAGACCTAGATTTATGTGTTTATAATCATTTCTATGTCAATACGTCAGTGCTTAACAGAGATCAGTTCCCTCTGAAGTATACAGGAATGATCAGATTTCCTCTTTACTTTATGATGGGTGAACTGGAGCCACAAAAAGACTTCATGATTTGTTCACACAGCCAGCCAAGATGAAGCAAGGGATTCCCAATTCCCAATTTGTTGTTCTAGTGATTGGTGGAGGCTGTTTCCATTCCTAAGCTGTTTCCATTCCTAAACCCGTTAAGAACACTCCTTCCTATTCCATATTCCAAACTAGAACAAACTGTACTAATCTGACTTCAGTTGTGAAGCTATAAATTTAATTTACAAGGTCATTTATATGGGAGGAGAAGTAGTGTCAAAATACAAGAATCTATGCAAGGAGAAAACAGAAGAGGCATAGATAACATAACCCCTATAAAATGTCTCCACATGTGATTTGTGTGGAAACAGTTGCTCTGAGATCAGAAGGAAATCTGTTGCTTTTGGCAAAACTGGTGATTCTACAGCTCAGTAGTTATTAGGGCCTCTGTGTGATACTTTCTGAGCTATGAACTTATCTTAAAGACTTCCTGTTTTGCAGTTTTCAGTCCCATCAAGCTGTATGCCTTAGTGTATTCCGTTCTGTTGTTGTAATGTTATCAAGATTTACAATAAATAGGTAAAAGATTAAAAGATAGTATGACAAGAAACTTAACATGAACCAATCTGGAATGGAAAGTGGAAGAGTACAGAAGCAAATTTCAGACTAGTTGCTGATTTGGCAGCACTTTAGACACTCCATGGTTTCTGTAATGGTCATTCTGGCAGCCTAGACCTCCTATAAGCCTTGTTAGCAATAAAACACCCTTTTCTTCCTCTATCAGCTAGCTGCTGTAGTTCAGCATGATCTAAAATAATTGCAGAAAGATGGAAATCATCAAGGTAAATGATGATCAAGGTAAATTTTCTCAGATATGAAAAATGTTAACAGTGTTATTACAGAAATAAGTAGAGGATATGACTAATGGCAAAATTCCCTCTGTGCCAAGTGTAGTACACATCTAACTATGCACATGAGGTGGTCTGTTTTTCAGTAGTGGCTCTAAGTGATGTCAATTACAACAGGGGAAAAAACATCCCTGCCTCAAGTTGTGGACCCATAGGGCTCATTTTGAGGCTAAAACGACAATTATGTCTGCATTCCTGTGGGACCCTGTGGAGAGAGAGCTGAAAATAAGGTAGGGCATCCAACCACGCAAGGGTCTCCCAGAGGCAATGAAGGGTCTAAGCATCAGTGGGAAACACCACAACATCTTCCTCTTTGAAAAGCTCATGAGAACAATACAACAATGACGGTGTCCTCCTATCTCAAGACTATCCCACCCTACAAAACCCCATCTGCCTCATACCAAATAAACAACAACAATAAGCCATGAAATAAATTGATCTTAAAGTACTGAGTTAGTGCACTTGGAAAAAATTGAGGCCAAAGCAGAACTCTTAACCCCCAGAGACAGGGCACATAGAAACCCATAAGCGTTTCCTCTGTAAACGTTATGAGTGTTCCCAGTTTCTGTCAGTTTTATACATCAGGTATTCAGGTACTACTGTGATATGGCACTGTAAAATTGAAAGATCAAGTGAATAACATAAAGGAGTACAGCAGAAATAGGTATTTTACCAGCAATGCTTGAGATGTGGGACAGCACTTTGTCTACAGGTTCAGCTTTCTTTCCTGAGTGATTTAACATGCATCACAAGGAAATAAGTCTAGGGATGATTAGAGTTCTTCTCATCTGATGTTTATCCATACTCTAAGGAAAATATTAGCAAGCTAGGGAGAGAACAGGAAATTCTCAACAGTTAGTAAGGCAAAATAGGAAGCAGGAGGAATGGGTATGTTATGCTTGTACAAGCTCTGTGTTAGAACTAATAGGAATAGAGAAGAGAAATAGAAGAACAAGAGGGTTTTTTTGGGATGAAATTAATGCACACATAACAGAACATCCAAAACAAGAAAATCGGAGGGAATCTGCTCTTCCCTACAGCATCACACTCCATAATTAATTTGCAATGCAACACAACTCTTATCACTGACCTAGACAGCATTCTGGCAACTATTTTCTCAAAAGCCTCAAGTGATGACTAGAATAATTAATCTAAATTCAAGACTTACTGTTCCTCATTAGGCTACAGCTTTCACTCTGTCTCACTGTCATTTTAGTAAGAGCGGCAGGCTCCAAAATTAAGACTTCTAATATTTCTAAGTGGCAACTGTTATACGGTCCTACCTATTTGTGGAAAGGAAAAATAGCCTAGAACTGCTGCTTTTCTAGATTTTCCTGGTCTTACCTAGGACAATCCAGAAACTGGACACATGAAGGTAGAAACCTTGGTTTCTTGCTTCTGATTAAATTAATGGGAATTTTGCTTTTGTCTTCCAAGGGGCCAGGATTTTACCCAGGCCTCAGCAGCAGTTAAGCCTAAAAGAGAGCGGTGGATTGCCTCTTGGTAAACATTGAAGGCAAATGAATGGGCTAGCCTGGGTAATCTGTGCATACTTCAGCATTTCTCCATGGCCACTGTGAAGACAAGGGAGCTGCAGGCTGTTTTGGAAAGCAGACTTCTCACTGAAATGCTCTCAGATAAAGTGTGAAGGAATGAATGAATGGAATGAAATGATGGGCTAGCTCGTACCCTTGCAATTACTTATCTGGTCTCCTTTACTATAAACTCACTTCCTTCCTTTCAGAGGCAAGTTTTCTTGTCACATGTAGGCTGGTTATATAAACATAGATTTAACATGAAATTTGTGCTGACCTCCCTCTCACGTTCCTGAAGTAAGTGAAAAGCTAGGTACTAGGTCCTAGGCCCTGGCTTAGGACTTGATCCCTTAATACGTGGGGCCGATCAGTCAAAGGGTTTGCTTTATAAAAGAATTATTTAGATAGCAATTCATAAGATGTAGACAGGAGATTAATTAGACTGGACTACAGACCATGCCATCTCCTGTGCTTATCTTAAGGTCGAAAGGGGAAAAACATTGTCTAATGGGTAGAGCACTGGACAGGGGCTGAGTTCTTACTGCCACTCTGCCACATAAGTAAATGTATGCATAGCTGTTGTAGGTTACGCTTGCATGTATGGCAATCTGATACTTCTGGTTAAACAACTAAATTTAATACAAGCACGGGCACACAAGAAGGTGCTGATTTAATAGCTCTTAAAGTCTGTAGAGCTTCTTCAAGGGATGTTGAAGCAGCTTTGGAAAAACAGCTTACTTGTGTTGTTTTTGGGAGAAGAGAGCATCAGTGGCAGCAAACATACGGTAATGCACTCTGGATTTTTTGTATTGCGTTAAAAAAAAAAGAGAAAAATCTCTGTTTTGAGCTGTTATTAGTTGTCACTGTGCAATTGAAAGGTCAAACCTGAGGTTCTTGCTCAAGCAAAACCCTTCTCGAAGCCAATGGAGTTTTGCCTGAGAAAATACTGGATGGAAGCATGCACAAAAGTCAGCTTTGGGAGTGAAGTTGAACTGTATTCAGGCATTGGTTATTAGAGTTCCAGAAAAAGCTCTAAATGTAAAAAGAATGCTATCGTTAAAGGGTACTTTTGCATAAGAAATACAGGGCAATATCCTCAATTTACAAACTCTTGATGAGGAAAGGCCAGT